CTGAATAATGCAGCCGGGTCGATGTTTTGAGTTCAAAACTACTAGCAGATCATCAACTTCAAGCAAATTTTGGAGGTCTCGTGCAATATCTGAGCCATAAATGACATGACACTGCACTTAAAAGTTAACCTCTATCAAATGATTGCGTTACCAATATCAATCTTAACAAAGAACAGCTTCAAAGAATGAACAAGAAACAGAATCATGTTTTTCTTCTGCTTGGAAAAATCAACGAAACAAAAGGTAAGGCTCTAGCTCATGTTATAGTTAACTGTGCATTTCTTTACCGATTGCACATTCACATTGGGATTACTTTTCAATGATCAATTTCGTGTGCTTTCATCTTTTTCTCAGTAATTTACAGCCTATTAAAAGTATAATACAACCAAATAGAATAGAATAAGGCATGCAAAGCTTCTAACAAGACTACATTTCAAATCCGAAAGCCACAAACCTTCAGCGCAACAGGGAAGGCCACAATATACTGCAAAAGTGCCTTCTTGAGCTGTGCATCACCCGAAGTCTCAACACTAGAAATGATCTGCCTCGCGAAATCATTAGCCCCTGCAATCACCTCAGTCCAAGCCTTCCTCCCTTCTTCAAACCTCGAATACGAAGCCTCTGTCCTGAACACCAGCAACAGCGCCAATGCCGGCGCTGTGAGCTGGTATGGCAAAGATGAGGACCTCAACAACGGGAAAATTCCCGGAAGCAAATCCAACGCAACTGCTGTATTATAGCTAGCAATCACCACAGCTACCAAAGTAAAAGCAATCACCGGCGGTATCAAAGACAAGATGACTCTTGACGAAAGGCTTGAGAGCAAGTGCCGGAGATGGCGGTAGGAGCTTCTGTGATGCATCCATTTCTCATGGTCATAAAGTGTTCTGTGCTGTCTCATTCCACGCTCTTGCGTGCGGTCTGACCAGTCGGGTATGATTCGCAGTATTGAGATTAGGGTTTGGACCGGAGAGGAAGATGATGGCGGTGAAGGGTTTGGGTTTGGGGATTGTGAGCAGAGGAGCTTGAACTTGAGGGTTTTTGGTCCGGAGGGAAGGTTTGGAAATTGTAATGTGGGAAAGTGTTGGGGGTGGACAAGTTGGAAGAGAGTGAGATTTTGGGGGAGAGTTTGATGGGGTTTCTGGATTGTGTCAGCATTTGGAGGAGCTAGGGTTTGGAGGGAGAGGGAAGAAGGAAGGAGCATGTTAGGGTTTCACAGGGAGGGAGTTTTAGTTGGAGAGGGAGGGAGGGAGTGGATGAGTTAGTTAAATAACGGTTATGTGTGAAGGAGGTTTTTACACATTTTCAAATTTTAGTTGGACTAAAAATTTGATGCTTTTAGTTAGGAAGGGGGGATGCTGGTGGGACTCAAGAAGGGTGACAGGCTCATCTGCACCGTCCATCAAATTGCCACAGCAATTAGCTTATTAAAAAATTTGAAAATATGTTTGGTAAAATTAAAAAAAAAAAAGTGCTTATTTAAAAAATTACTATCAATGATAATAGAAAAGTACAGAAAAACAGAAACAAGATTTACCATGCTTCTAACAAAATTGTTTTATTTTTTCAAAGTGGCCATTTTCGTTAACCTACCTCAAGTTGGACAAAACTTCAAACGACTAGCAGAAACCCCTAGCAGAAAACCCTTCCGCCGTCGGCCTCCAGCTCCTGCTTGGGGCTGGTGGCTGCTACCCTTTCAATTTTTGTGTTATCCTCCTCCTGATAGAAACATATTTAAGCGACTTAGTTAGCTTGTTCTTGTGTATTTGTGTTGTTATTTCTTAGTTAATTATGTATTTTAAGCTATTTTCGTGTGTTTGTAGGTCATAATAACAAAGTTGGCAAGAAAGTGCATTTTGGAGCATTTTAGAGCATTTTTGAGCCAAGATTGGATAGTGCAAGCATTGAGATATGAGGATGGACGTTTTTTAAGATTTGAAGGCTAGAAATCAACATGTGTGTGTGCAAGTGTGTTGACCTACAACTCCAAACATCCATCCACTACACCAATTACATCCACTCATTACCAAACATCCACCCACTACACCCATTACATCCACTCATTACCACAACACTCACCCACTACACCCATTACATCCACTCATTACAACTCCATACACTCCTCTCCCTAGCCTATAAATACATCCACTCATTCACAAACACAATTTCCTTGCCGTGACCTCCATCCATTCATCTAGCCATACTACATCTCACCAATCCATACACTTTCATCTCTTAGCCGTGCAATCCATTCCATCCATATATCCATACACATCCTAGACACTTGTGCTACAATAAGGTGGTGAAAACAAAGGTCCTTGGCGTTTCAAGCTTGGAACTTTAGAGCGTTTTAGGTGTACTTCGTTCTTGCTTTCAATGTCTACTTTGTTATTTTCTAATTTTGTTGCAATTATGAGTGGCTAAACCCCTATTTAGTTAGGGGGAAGTTTGAAGCCATGAACATGCTTGAGATTTGAATTGATTTCTTCCAATTGTGATTTGATAAGTTGTGATTGCAATTCAATTATTTATTTTATTATAACTGATTCTAGTATGTTTATTAAGGATGCATACTTAGTTTTCATGCATGAATTAGATGCTAGAATATAAATGAGTTTAACCTAATCGTTACAAGTTTATATTCATGAGTAGTGAAGGTTGTTTATCACAATCGCGTTAATTGAATTCTTGGCAATTGTATCATGCATTCATAGTTATAATTGCCTCATCAACACTTATGATTTTCATTGAACGTAATGATCTTTGATTGTATCTCTATTATGCATTCATATAGGGGACTTTTAGAGAATGATTTGGGTTGTCGCATGCATTCATCCAATTCAATGAGTAAAGAAAAATCTGAGGGTTAATTTGTGCATCACGGTTAATCTGGGGTGTTGAGCATCATAGTTTATTGAAAAGAAATTGGAAATCAATTCATGTACAAGTGTGTCATGTGCGAAGAACGGATCTCTAACTAATCCATCCTTCATCTCATTTCTTAAATTCGCTTTACAATATGTCTAATTTTATAAGTTGTTTGTTCGTTTCGAATTCGTCAAAACCAAAATCCCCCTTTTACTTTGTTGTTTCAAAGTGTTAAATTTATATTTCGTTAGTGTTTTTGAGTGTTTTGATTCAAGTCAAAACCCAAATTTCGTCCAAAGTTGTGTTAGAGTCAAATCTGCCCAGTAAGTGTTTTTAGGCAATTTTGAGTGTTTTTTAAGTTGTTTTGCGTCTTTAGAATCTGTTTTGAGTCATTTGAGTCTATTCAAACGTTTTTAACTTTGTTTTTATGTCTTTGAGTTAGTTTAGAGGTTTTAGCAAGCCCTCCTAGTCCTCGGTTTAGAACGATCCCTACTTGCATTTATACTACAATTTGACAACAAGAAGGTTTAATTTGAGTGCTTAACTTTCATCGCATCACCTCCCTCTTTCTTCCTCGCTCGGCTATGGTCCCGATTCCTGATGTGGTTGGAGATCTATCTCCAGGGTTTTTATCCCTCCCCGCAAATACGATCGCCCTAATCCTCTTCTTGGATCGGTGGAGCAACCAGCCATCTAGTGGTGGTATGGACGAAACTCTGTTTCCGGGTTTTGTGCCCATGTTTCAAGGTACTATTCCGTTGATTTGGGGTTTTTGGGATCAGATTTGGGGTTCTTGGGGTTGACTTTGGGGTTCTGCTCTCAAACAACTCCAATACTTCGAATCTGCTCTCAAATTCCACTCCTGTTTTGGGGGATTTCATCTCATCTCTTGTATGCTGCTTCTAGTCAGAGACAACTATATGTTGTCACCCCTACAAAGGTCTGGTATCTCTTTAGAATGATGTTTACATTACCTGACCTTTTTGGTTACAGCTTGGTTCTGGGTATTTGTTTGCGTTTGTGTTCGTCTGAGGACCGAAGGTGTGGCGTTCAGGATGGTTTGGGATCTTCCTGATCTGCAGGTGGGGCTTCTTTTCTACATCTTTGAAGCTTTGATGGGTTTTTGTATTGCTCTATGCGGTGGTATTTCACAGGTTTTCCGTTCGCCGGGCGTATCCATCCTTTCGGCGGCGGTTGTGGTGGATGGTGTTTTTCGGCTCAGGGTTATCAGTTTTTGTAGAGGGATCACTTTTGGGCCTCTTCGGGTGGACTCTGGTTTTTGGGCCGAGCCACATCTTATGTAATTTTTTGTTTTTTAGGTATAATTGAGAACCTTTACTCATGCGATAAATGCATAAGTGGCGTCTCTTTTGTACCTTCCTCAGTTATGAGGTTGTTGTCTTTGTACTGTGTCCGTTTGGACTTTGTTATAAAATTCCTCCTTGCACAAAAAAATTAAATAAATAAAACAATGCCCATCTAATGAAATTTTCAAATGACGAGTATAGCCCCGCATATTTTACAAAATAACAATATTTGCTTCTGCATTATTCTCTTTGGTAATTATTATATCACATTAAATATCATATCTTTTTTAGTCACTTAACATATTCACATGAATTTTATATAAAAGTTTACCACACATTTATACACTTTTTTTTTTTTTTGTTAAAAACACTTTCACAAAAAATGTTCATCAAACATTCTACAACTTTATTTTACAAATATTTATTATTACAGCACAACATAATAGTTCTTTTAAAAAACGTAGCAATACCAAACTAGCTCTTTAAGAGACTAAAATCCGTCACTAAAAACCGGCACGTAATGGGAGGGTGCCCAAGAACTCTTCCATCACTCCAAGATATCATATTGTTCCGAGGTGCGAGAAATTGAGTCCCGACATTCCACTCGCTTTTGTAACCCCAACGCCCTCGCTACACCACTTTATTGGCACTTTCCCTAAGGTAGCCCTTTGCCCCTTCCTGCGGAGTTTGAGGCCAATTGCACAGTGAAACCTGGCTCTGATACCAATTCTTAGGAGTGTGGGTAAAATTTGCACCTAAAACCAGCTCGTAAGGAAAGGGTGCTAAGAGCTCTTAACCACTCCACGATAATCTATTTCTCCGATGTTGGACAATTGGGTCCTTCAACCCGGGATTGTACGATTTATAACACGTAATATAGTGAACATCATAAACATATCCGCACTGAGTTGGGTTCTATATCAGCAGCAAGGAGAATGTCATACATAAAACCAAACATGAAACTATCTTTCTGCAAAAGGTACACAAGGTCCAAATATCACCCCATAGAAACTTAACAGAACTGTAACATCATTCTCAGACCGACGATCTTTCTATACACAGTCAACTGCCCATTAAACTAAGGACGGTCCTTTGCATCAGTAGCGCCCAGCTTCTCGATTTTGCTTTCCTGAGGTGGACTCTTTGATCTGAAAATGAAGTCTTTAACAGAACCTTCTGCAGACTGTATAGCTTTCTTAATCTGCCATCACAAAATGGTGCAATTAGACCTCAAAACAGTTATTATACAGCCAATGACAATCACTAATTACTAATGACGGAATGACAAGGTTTTTAAGCAATTCACAAGTCTAGCAGGCATGGTATTTTAGAGGTTGGGTAACAGTTCCATGCGCAAATGCCTTCATTGATGTGCAAGACATAGTAAAGTTTGTATGCCTATAAAAAACAGTTTTGGCAACCCCGAAAGCTTAAGGGTTACTGACGGTCTTTATCAAATATTATGGCTGTAACTTTTAACTTTAACCTCTTTTTGATCTCCCTGCAACCCCCAATCTTTCTGTGCTTAAACCTTTCCCGTTATATCCTCTCACTTTCGCTAAGAAGAGGTGAATTTTTCATGACACCACCTCTTTCTATCTCCACAAAATCGACCATTTATCCGTTTTAGCGTCCTATAGTTCTTCTAATCACAAAACAAGTCGTTCCTAACTGACTAAAAATGCTCCTCTGTACATTCAGGGAAGAAAAAAGAAAGTGCTCGATAATCTACACGGCTTAGGAGTCCAATACCATTCCTAAATCACATTTTCTACAGCTTTTTACAATACCATTTCCGTCTTAAACAATCAAATCTCAATGACAGAAAAATCGCTCTGAGTATCTTGAGCAATCAATTACTAAAAAATTTGCAATTAAAGAGTGGTAACTATACAAGCAGAAAACTACCCAAAATCTCACTCACATTATCATTTTGCTAAAAAGATACGAACAAAATCGACGCAGAGCCAAAAAAAAACAAACCCAATTAGTCCAATTCCATAACCCACAATTCATTCTACAACAAGCAACTGTAAATCGAACCCGAAATCGAAAGACCCCCATATTTGTGAACTAAAATTACACATCTGAGAAGTTAAATCGCAACCCAAAGACTAATTATTCCTTTTCTCCCTACCCTTTTCGCAACAATATCAAAGTTTGATTACAGAAGATGAAATTGCGGGAAGAAAAAGGAACTTACAGGGTCGAGAGCGTTGGGCTCGGAGCCGTAATCAGCAGTCAAGAGGAAATAGGCAGCAGTGACAGTGGACACCATGGTCGTCCTCCTCACCAGCCTTTCGGTTTTTGAGTTCATATCCTTTTGCCTTCGCTTTCTCTCGGATTCTCTGGAAAGATTGGTTTAAAGATGGAGGCTTTTGAGAGTTGGTTTTAGAGAAAGTGAGGATTTTTCATTTTTGAGAAGGGAAGAAAGTAGAAGGAATTGGAAGCAAAATGGGGTTTTTTTTAATTTTATTTCTTTTTATTTTTTTTTCTTAATTTCCTTTATATACATCTATATATTAAACATAGAACAATATTTGGCTACTCAAAATATGAGTAGGAGTTCATACTCAAAAGTAAGGTCTAAAGTATCGATATTATCTCGATATTTTCATCAAAATTTCCTTATTTTTGGACTACCGATATTTCTTGACACACCCCGTCCCGAAGGAGGGCGTGCTGGCCGTCACGTGAGAGTGACGTAACCATTTACACAGTTCGGAAGCTTAAAAAAATTTCCAATTACTAAGATAACACACCCGAGGGTGAGTCCTACTTTTGTGAATTCTGTCAGAACACCGTTGGATTCCTCGTGGCCACCAAAGCTCTGCTAACTTGAACCTGGAGGGGCGCAAAACAAAATTGAGTGGGTCAGTAAAACAAAGTTTTTCGAAAACTTTTCATTTAAAACATTTCTAACCCCTCACCGTAAAACCTGTATACTTTCCCAGAAAATAGCATATATATAAACATATATATAAGCAAAAATCTCAAATCTCAAACCTTTAACACTTTTCAGAAATATATATATATATATATATATATATATATATATAACCATATGAAATCTCAAAGCTTGAATCCCAAATCTTTAACATTTTTCAAGAAAAACATGCCATGCCATGCCATAAATCAAAATATAAATCAGGTGAAATAAGGAATCAATCGGAGACCCTGCAGTTGGTCCTATACGATTAATTCAATAGCTCAATATCTCACTAAGCCGGAGTCACCACAGTGACCTATACGGCCCTACTCTGCACATCACTCGGAACTACGTAAGGTAGTCTATACAATGAAAGGTGTAAAATACGCTCTAGTGCTTCTCTCATCATATCATCAGCGCGCATATCTAAGGTCACCCACCGGTCGGAACCCCTCTAATGGTCTGTACGACTGGCATGTCGGAACCCTCACATGGTCTGTACGACATCCACCTACTTGGATCCAAGACGAGCGTGCGGTGTGGTGAATAAAATAAGCACTAACACCTAGGGTGCAGGTTATGAGCTCAAAACATCTCAACAACAACAATTCAATGAATAAATGAACTCACCTGACTTACCTGTGCCTCCACAGCACCATGCAACATGTATGCATCATACATCAATCATGTAATTCATATAACAATTCGCATTTTCAAATAATTCTATGCATGGCATTTTTAAAGCATATCTTCATATAAATTCATTTTCTGGGAAAATCAATAGTATAAAGGTAATACAAAAACAAAACTGCCCACTCACCTGGAGTTCGCCCACAACTCCCTAGCACCGTACATCAAGGCGTCATGACGATTAGCGCCTAGAACAACAATCAAATCCAACCTCAGAAATTCTGCCGATAGAATACATAACTTATATAAGACACGTCACTACGTAGTTCGATCCGGATGATCTGCAATTCAGATTTCAAATCCGTAACTTCCAGAGGTCCACAATATACCTCTAGGACAACATCCTAAAATTTCATTACCATCCAACGGTCGGATCTCCGTCAATTTCCAAAACTAAGTGACGGTTAACATTCTATTTTATGAACTTACAACTTCAATTCCGGAAGATCCGTAAATCGGATTCCCAATCCGTAAGTTCCTATAATCCTCAAATATTACGTATTACAACGTATCAAAGTTTGATGACGATCCAACGGTCGGATCGTCAATTCACATTTTCACCTAACCACGAATCGTAACCAACTTAGGTTCAATTATTCAATTTACGTCCATCAATTATCAAAACAGAACCTAGAACCTTAATCACAAGCTAATAATGACATTGGCGGGCCATTGGCCACGCGCCGCGCGCGCGGCTGCCGCGGGTGGCGGTTGGCCGCCCCCGGCTCGCCGGAAAATTCAACTATTTCCAAAAAATTACCAAAATTTGCAGATTTGAAGATCTCAATGAGTAGAACAACTTTCATACCTGAGACCAAGGCCAATTTGGCCTGGAAGTGCTTCAATTTCACCAAAACCGTGAAGAACCCTAGAATTTGGGTGTTTCCAATTCGACCTTCAAACTTGTTCCAACGCCTCAATTACCTCTTGGGCTTTGTTCTAGGTCCTAAAGGAATGCTAAAGGTGTTAGTAATTGAAAGAAAACATTTCAAAATTTGGAGAATTTAAACAAAAGGGTCGCGGCACCCGTAGGGGGTGTTCTTCGCGAAATCACAACGAAATTCAATGATTCTTGGGGTGAAACGTGAAGAGGGAAGGCCTAGATGATGATTAGGAGTGGTACCTTGACTCAATTCGTCGGAAAATTGGACGAAAACGGCGAAAACCCGCCGATTTGGAAGCTTGGGTCGCGCGGGTCAAGGGTGACCCATTCCTCCTGTTCCCCCGTGCACCACTCTCCCTCCTTTCCCTCCTTTCCTTCCCCTGATTGGTCAACTTCTTCCTCTCCCTTCTCCTAGTTCACTCTCATCTTCTTCTTCTCCGATTGGGCATTTCTGCCCAGTCTCTTCTTCTTTTCTGTTTTCTGTTTCTTCTTCTCATACACATACACACACCAAAAACCTTTCCCTCATCCCAGCCATCCATTTCATTCATCAATAAATCTGGGCCGTCCAATTTCATAAAAGAATTTCTATATTTTACTAAAATTATAATTCCTTAAAATTCCAAATTTCAAACGTTAATAACTTCTTCGATATAACTCCAAATCACGAACCGTCTGCGCCCACGCGTCCGTAACGACGAGTACTACGAGGATATGTCAAGAAAACAAATCTTAGATGGCACGACACAACGATTAACCTCGAATGATGTGCGTGCCTCAAAGGGCATTTTTGTAAAATCCTTTATTAAAACTTTAAAAATTCTTAAAATTAGGGACGGCTGTCACAATCTACCCACCTTACAGAAATTTCGTCCTCGAAATTTACACAATCTTTATAATCCATCAATATCCATGAAACAGCCCGAAACACATCTTTCTCATTCGATTCTTTGACTTCTAAGTAGCTTCTTCCACTGAAAGATTCCTGCATAAACTTTCACCAAACTCATAGTCTTATTTCTCAGTACATCATCTTTCTAATACAAGATAGGCACTGGCTCCTCATCATACGTCAAATCCATATTGACTTCCAAAGGTTGATAAGGTATCACTCGTGAAGGATATGAGGTTTAATGTCGAAGTATCGAAACATAAAACATATCATGCCCTTTCATCGGCTCTGGAGGCAATTCAGCCTGTACGTAACTTCACTGACTCGTTCGATGATCACAGATGGTCTGACGTATCTAGGACTTACTTGTTTTTCTTTTTAAAACGAATCATACTTTTCCAAGGTGATAATTTCAAAATCATTCGATCACCTACATATACATCCGGTCAGTGGCATGTTTGTCTGCTAAGCTCTTCAGCCGATCCTGGCCCACTTCTAGGTTAGACTTAATTACTTGAATATTCCGAATAGTCTTATCCACTAACTCAGGGCCTTGAATACTATCCGTCCCCAATTCTAACAATTTCGAAACACAAGACATAGCTTTCCACGGCCTTATGGCGTTACTCAAGGGAACAAACTGAAGGGACCAACATACCCAAGAAGTTTAACAGATCCCAAATCTCTTTTTCCATAAAACAAACAAATAAATGTTGCGCTTGTCTGGAAAAGTTGGTGTTCTCATACTGAAGTAACATACGCTGACGTCACAGTCGATCAATTATTATTCAAATTCCAACCTAACTATTTTGTATACGAGGAAGCTTGTCCACGAAATCCATAGTAATATTCTCCCATTTCCGCCGTGGAATGGGAAATGACTACATTATTCCACAAGACTTATTTCTTTCTGCTTTAACCTGATGACTGATGATACGCCTACTAACATACTTCGCCATTCCTCTTTTCATACCCGTCAATAGTACATGAACGAATGGTATGATAAATCTTAGTACTTTTGGGATGCATTGTAGAAGTGGAATAATGTACATCGTCAAAATTGCTTTCTTTAATTCCACACCATTAGGCATAAACACTTTGTTCTTTTGCATAGGCTTGCCATCTAATTCTCTAACTCTAAGGTCCTTCTTTTTCCCGTTATTCCTTGCTTTAAATAAATTCTTGAATTTCTTCGTCAAACGCTCGAGTATCGAGTACGATCTACCAAATGGGTCCAACTTAGAAATTAGCAAGTAAGGCTTCTTTCTCGATTTTTTGATACTCAACTTTACTCCAGTAGATTTCAAAATCCACAAGAAGATGAACATAGCAAGCGTACCAAGCATTAATTCTCACTGGGGTCTTCCTACTAAATGCATCAGCCACAACATTAGCTTGACCACCCTCGTCACACAATCATAGTCACTAAGCAACTCATTCCACCTTTGTTGCCTAAGATTAAGATACCTCTGAATAAACAGATATTGGGTACTCTTTTGATTTGTAACAATCATGCACTTTTCTTCCCATAAAGACAATGTCTCCAAATCTTCAAAGCAAAGATGATAGCTGCTAATTCCAAATTATAATTAGGGTAATTCATCTTATGAGATCCCAATGGCCATGAAGCATAGGCAATCATCCTACCATGTTGCATCAACACGCATCCAAGTACATTCAAAGAAGTATTACTATAGACCACATAATTACCACTATCGTCTGGGAGTGCGAAAACAGATGCATGAGTGAGGGAATACTTTACTTGCTGAAGCTCTACTCACAATTTTTTTTTTTTTTTTTCCCACTCAAACTTAACCTCTTTTCTCATCAATCTCGCCAAGGGCGAAGCAATAATTAAAATCTTGGACGAACTATCGACAATATCCTGCTAATCCGAGAAAACTCTGAACCTCAGTCACAGTTCGCAATTGTTCCAAATTCTCAATCGTTGCTACTCTTTTAAGAATCCATTTGAATACCTTAAGTAGATATAATTATTTTATCCAACATTAGCATTTGCTAAACTTAGCATACATCAACGTTCCTTCAATCTTTGCAACACCAACTTTAAATATCTAGCATGCACTGCTCTAATCTTATCAATCTCGTCAATGGCAAACAATAACAACCCGGTCCAGATATCACTGGAATACTTCCTTCAGCAAACTCATAAAAGTAGCAGGTGCATTCGTCACTCCGTATGGCCTCCCAACTTGAAATGACCATAACGAGTCCTGGATTTAGTCTTATGAACATCCTCACTGT